CAGGTGGGGGAGGGCAAAAGAATCGAAAGATATGCGCGCCTCAGCACACTGAGACGACTGGACGGACGACGGCACGGACGGGAACGACGCACGGACGGACGATCAAGCGATTCTACAAGCTGCATCTGACATTGTCAGATGAGCTAACAAACCCTAAACGTCTAGCCTAAACCTATACCCTAAAACCTAATCCTAACATCAACCCATAACCTGTTTTACTTGAGATAACGCAAAAAAATTAAAAACTGCCGGCATTTAGGAATCGAAGACCGGCCTGTCAGCCGTCAGATATACGCCGGCTGCCGGCATATAGCCATGTGTAAAAATAACTTTTGAACAACAAGTCCAACGGACTCCTACCATCAAAAAAAGGAAGTCGATATACAAGTAGTACTGACAAAAGGCACGCGAGTGGCACCTCTGCAACAATTTCCTGGTCATTTGCTAAAAAAATACATGGTAATCTCCGCGATAATCCGTGCACTCGGAACACGAACTAGTAAGAATAGCATCAAATTACATGGTAGATCAAACGCCTCCTGCATATTCCAATCAGGGAGTCCGACAGTAACATCAGGAGTATTGACTCCGGAGTTGGCGTTAATTTCGCACGCCTGCCTCGCGATAAGAACTTTTGACAAACTAAAAAAAAAGATTAAGCTCTCATCAAAAGTGTCCAGAATAGCATAAAGAATCTGAATTGCTCGAAATTGCACATTTATCTCACAAAATACCCCATCGTGGAAGCATGCCCATCAGAACCCCGAACTTGGCCAGTATACGCTGCTCGCCTATTGCTGACCTCGAACTCCAAAACGAAATAACAGTCCACCTCACAGACCTTTCGGCTGGGGAAACACTGGTATAACAGGCAAATATAGTTAAATTTTTTTATCGTATTGTTTTTGTAAATATTGTTTTATTTTTTTTTTTTTTTTTTAATTTTTTTTTTATAATTTAATCCTTTATAATAATTCATTTTTTCTATAAAATTCCTTTTATTTTTTATTTATTTATTTTTATTTTTTATTTTAATTATATTTTTGTTTTTTATTTTTTTTTAATTTATTTTTATTTTTTTCAAATGATTTGTAATTTTATTATATTATTGATTTATTTTTTTTTTTTTATTTTAAATTTTTTTTTTAATAACACACACCACACAACAACTTTTATATTATTTGTTTTTTTTTTGTTTATTGTATTATAAAATGGGAGAGATTAGGAGTTATAGGTTTTAATACAAGGGAAATAATATAAAATTATGTTTTAAGAAAGTAGGGGACCCAGAAAAAAAGGAAAAGGTATTGTTGAGATAGCTGATTAAGAGTTATTATGAGGATATCGTGTCATAGTTATGATTCTTATTTTATTTTAACCACACATTTGTTTATATTCCACTACTCCCTTGTAAGGAGAACTATTTCAGATAAAGTTAAGTACGTTAATTTCCCATAGTGATCTTTAAAAATTTTTATAATTTTTATTTATAATGTTCACAACATAGTTGTTTATAGTTTTATTTTCTAATGTTTATTTATTATTTTTTTTCCTTGACACTTCTTTGAATATGTAATTATATTAGTTTTTTGTTATTTTAAGTTTATTATATTTTTCTTTTTTACCACAACACACAACCACACATCACAAAATACCAATTAATTTTCTTTTTTTTTTTTTTTGTTTTTTTTTTTTTATTTTATTTTTTTTTTTTATAATTAATTTTTAAGTTTTTTTTGTTGTTATATTTTTTTTTTTATTTATTTTTTTTAAATTTTTTTTTTAATATTTTTATATTGTTTTATTTTTACCTGTTTTTTTTTTTATTGAGTTCCTAATTTATTTTTTTATATCTTTTTTTTGTTATTATTTTTTTTTTTTTTTTTATGTTATTTTTATTTTTTAATTATTGTTTTATATCTTATTTTATTTAAATTTTTATTTATTTTTGTATTTTTTTTTTTTTTTTTTTTTTAAATTTACATTTTTTTATAATAATTTATTGATTATTTTTTTTTTTATTAAGATTTTTATATTTTTTTTATTTTTTTTTTTTTTACTGTAATTTATTTGGTTTGTTATTTTTTTTTTTTATTTTTTATTTTTAGTAATTTTTTATTTTTATTTATTTATCTTTTTTTTTTTATTTTTTTGTTTTTTTTTTTTTATTTTTTTTTGTTTTTTTTTTTTTTTTAAATTTTTTATATATTTATTTTTTTTATTATGTTTATAGTTTTAAATTGTTAATTTTTTATATTTTTTTTTTATTTTATTTTTTTTTTTATTTTTTTATAGTTTATATTATTTGTTTTTTTTTATTTAGTTAGTTTTTTTGTATTTTTTTATTTGTTTTTGTTTATTTTTGAGTTATTTATTTTATTTAATTCTTCGGTTTTTTTTGTTTTTTTTTTTTGAGTTTTATTTTTTTTTTTTAGTTAAAAATTGCTTATTTGGACATATTTTTTTTTGATAGTAATTTTTTGATTTGATGTTGGGGTATTATTAATTTTTTTATTATTTTTTTTTTTTTTTTGTTTAAATGGTTTATTTTATTTATTTTGATGGGATATGTTGTTTTTTATTAATTTTTTTTATAATTTTTTTTTTAGTATCTATTTTTTTTTTATTTTTGTTTATTTTTTAACTTTTTGTTTTTTTTTTATTATTTTTCCTTGGCTTTTATTTTTTCATTTATAGTTGATTTTTTAATGTTAATTTTATTTTTTTTGACTTTATTTTAAGTTGTTTTTTCTTTTATTTTTTTGTTCATTTTTTATTTATTATTTTTTTTTAATTTATTTTTTTTTTGTTTATCTTTATTTTTTCTTATTTTAATTTTTTTTTTTTTTTTTGTTTTTGCTATTCACTATGTTTTTTTTTTTTATTATTTTTTGTTTTTGTTATTTTTTTAAGCCTGATTTATGTTTTTTTATTATAATTTTTGTTTTATGTATTTTAAATTTTTTTTATTTTTTTTTTTTTTTTTTTTTTTTTTTTTTTATATATTATTTTTTTTTTATTTTTTTTTTTTTTTTTGTTAATATTTTTATTTTTATTTTATTTTTATTTTGTTTTTAATTATGTTTTTAGTTATTATTTTTCCTTTTTTTTTTATTTTTTTGTTTTTTTTGTTTTTTTTTTTATTTTTTACTTTTTTTTATATTTAATTTTTATTGTTGTTTTTTTTCTTTACTTTATGTTTATTTTTTTATTATTAAATTTTTGTTTTTTTTTTTTATTTTTTTTTTTTTTTATATTTATTATAATAATAGTATGTTTGTTTTATTTTTTTTTTTTTTTTTATTTTTTTTTTTTTTTTTTTTTTTGTTTTGTTGTATGGTTATTGTATTTTTATTTTTTTTTTAATTTTTTATTTTTTTTTTTTAATTTTTTATAGTTTTTTTATTTATTTTTTTTTTGCTATCTAATATTAATGTTTAGGTTGGGTTGAATGATTTTGGGTTTGTTTATTTATTTTTATTTTATCATTTTTATTAGGCTTATTTTTGTTGTTGATTATTTTTTTTTTTTTTGTTTATAATTTTTTTAGTTATTTTTTAACGAATTTTCTGGTTTAAATGCATGGAGTTGAGCGCTTTTTGTTTCCACTAACGAGAGAGGAGTACAAAAATCTACTCGTCTAATTTGTGATTTTTGGATGATATTTTTTAATTAAAGTCGTGTGTTGGTTACAACCCTAGTTTATTACATTTTAGTTTTTCGATTGTAAGGATTGGAGGGGAGAAAGGGCAGAGGAATGTTAATAAAAGGAAGAGAGAAGGTAAATGGAAGTAGGAGGGCGCGATCACAAAGTATAGCCGAACTGTCAAAAGTTAGATTCAACTGG